TGTACAGTTTCCCAAGTCATATTAAATGTTATGATCCCAGGTGATACGACTCGTGTGAGTTTACTGTACCATAGTATCATCCCGGGATTAGGTGTCTAAAAAAAATCAAAGAACAATGAAGGCGTTCTGTTGAAATGAACCGTCTCCTGAAACTCAACCCAAAAGGGGTAAACTGATCTCACACACATATATGACCAGAAAAAACATTAATTTTATCCTGTCTCAGTAAATTCCACTTTAAACGCTGTTTAAAAATCAAATTGATCCTAATTATCTGAAAACACCCCCCCCACACACACCTAAATGAAGCATGCCGTAATACACCCGCTCCCCATAACATACATCCAACAAGCAACTCTGAGTAAAACATTCAGTGCCAGAATTCCTCCGTACAAATAAAAAAACATTCCCATAGTTAGGCAGTGTACTTTAAAGCACAGTAATTCCCCGGACCTTGTTTCCTGCTTACTAGATTATATGTAGGTGTAATAGGCTTATGAAGGTTGCTTGATGTGAAAGGCGCTACACAAATGTAATTTGTTGTTGTTTGAATACAGATCCATCAAGCTCTGCTTTTGCAGTTTGATATGAGAAGCCCCTCAACTATTGTACAGTTTTGCTTACTGACCTCAATCTTCTGTTTTCTCAGGCTTGGCTCACAACTCCTTGGGGAGAATTGTAAATAAGTTATGGAGGCGATCATAGAAATACCAAGACGCATTTCACACTTACGGTATGACAAAATCACGTAAACCACAACATTGAGAGTGCTGCAATAAATTGTATGATAATTCATACACCATAGAGCAGCTTTTTTGTAGACAGTGAACTGTCTTAAGATAAATGCAATTTTCATTAAATTCCTGGATGCAGATTATCCCAATATGAATTTTAAAACAAATTCGCGTGATATAAACAGAATCACAGACACAATGATCATTAAATATTTAAACTTAATAAGAGTCAAATTTGAACTCTGGTATCTCCTAACAAATCGAGTCTTTTGATAGAAAACTGTACAAATTCCTTTAAAAGTCTCCACAGTATCAAAAGCATAGAGTCCTGAAGGTTTGTAAAAGGTTAACCTATCACAAGCGCTGAATCATATGTCACTGAGTCAAGAGATGCAAAAATCATTAACACTGATGACATGTCCAGCATGGAGTAGTGGTACAACACATCTCCCATTCAACGCCTAGGACAGAAACATCCACCAAAAATCTGACATTACAGTTCCAAATCTGAAAAAAAGACTTAGAGAACAGCGCTGAGTACTGACTTAGAGGATATATGCTTCCCACAATAAGGAAGGAAGAATATAACTGAAGTCAGAGAACTTTCAAACTCACCCACATGCAGACACACAACTTGCAATTGGTGGAAGACTGGGGGGGGGTGGGGGGAAAAAAGGAGGAAACGTTTACGATTTATGGCCTTATTTGCCCCATTTTGCTTTTACTCATTTATCGTATCATAGTAGCTCGAGTGTAATGAACTGCAGTTCAATAGCTCACCTGAATGCACAAGGCAAAATGAAAGGAGTGAATCTGCCGGTCAATGAGAAGGAATAACAAGGGTGAATAGAAGAAAGACTCCAAAAGGGAGTGAAATTTACTGAATCATTACAACAGGCTGACTTGTAGCAACTGAGAGATTTATAACTAAGCTCAGGGTCTATCGTGGCCAGAAATTCACAAATTATTTGAATAGTCTGCAAAAATGCTGAGAAAGTTTTATTGAAGGTCAGTTTAAAAAACTAAACTCTTCGAATACCACTTGTATGAAATATTCTAAACAGTATAGCTCAGTAGAGTATACCATTGTTCAATGTTGCGTGACATCCTTCCTCAAGTTCAATGCAGATACACAGGCACAAATGTAGTGCACAGGGATAAAATACCCGAAGTTGCAACAATAGTGTAATTTCCACAAGAATCTGGAAAACAGGTTGCTTATTTACTTCAGACCTTTGTACAAGAGAGAAACACTACAAAAAAAATCTAGATTATTTCCCAGGCAACTACTGGTGTAACCTCTGATCTGTTTCCAGATGCCCAAAATATAGGGTGAAAGCTGAAGCACAAGCAGAACTGCTGCTGTATGACTGAAGTAACTACACATTTTAAAGCTCACTTCCAGCCAACTTTCAAGTTATCCATTAACTACCAGCAGTGATTTAAATTCTAACATTTAGCTCACAACAAAAACAGAAAGGGACTTCCTACATCCATCCCCATTCAAAACCTCTTAAAAGATATAGGTTGAGCCAAATACTCAATACATCTGCCTGTTCAGGTGGACATTAAAGCACTTCAAAAAGAGATGGGAATTTCTCCCAGTGTCCTGGCCAATAATCCCCCAAATAAAATTGGGTTACCTCCATGGCTGTTTGTGGGTTATTGCTGTGTGCAACTGGCTACCTCATTTTGTCTACAAAATAAAGTCAATCTAATTTATAGTATATCCTGTGAAGCACTTTAAGATGTCTCAACTGCACAATAAGTAGCTGAGACGTCTCAACGCCAAGGATTATTATTATTACATTGAACAGCCAATCTTTGACTTGTGAAGCATTATAATACCTGCAGAATTTTACTGCAGATAGCGTCAGTCTTTGCAAAATTTAAGCACTAAAATTGTAGATATAAAGAGTTTCACATCTGCCAACTCTCATTTTTACAAAACAATACAACTATTCTTCCAACTCTATTCATGTGGATGGGTTTGCATTCAGTCTTGGTTTTCCATTAAACCCACTGATAGCAATGATCTACCTCAGCAATTGTGCACAAATAACACAAATCAAATCATATGCTGTAAGTGATTGTTTTAAAATCCTAACTATCTGAAGAACCCATTTGTAAAATGTAATTTCACTAGTCGACTCAACCACCTCATTCATCAAGGTATTGAAATCACATCTCATCATACTTACTGAGCCCTAAGTCACTAAACTCTAATCTTAAAAACAGACCCCAAGAACACAATAAGAAAAGGTCACTCAGACGATCAGTACCACAGGAATCCCCCATCTATCACCCTCTGATTCCACTACAGCTCAAACCCTCATCTATCATCTTGTCTTGGAAGCTTCTCCCCCTACACACTCCTGCAGTATAATTTACTCACATTATCTCTCAAAAGAATCCAAAGGCTGTACACATTCACTGCAGGGGTGGCAACCAGTTAACTGTTCAATGAAGACACTTTCTAATCTCTGCTTAGCAACGGTTCGAATTTTGAAAGCAAAGCCTTCAGTTTCCAACTTCATTTAAAAAAAATCGATGGTTTCCACTTTACTTTCAAAGAAAACTTCCCATTTTGCACTCAAAAGTCAGATTTCGCAGAGCCTTAGAAGAGCTATAACATTCACAAATGAAAAAAAAACGCAATTTACCCACAGTTACCACAAAGTGTATTGTCCTACAATTGAGAATAAACCCATCCAGTACATCTGACCGTCAAATGGAAAACATCTCAACCCAAATGTTCGGTTCATCCACGAGACCGCATTGCTTTATGTACTGACACAAAACGAATGTAGCAGTAGTAGGCCATTCGGGTTGAAAAAATACTGCAAACTCCTTGACATTTTCTATATGAAATCAGACAGTCTGAAAAAATTGGGGACTAAAGTATTCATACAGTGCAGCACAGAACTTTCAAAGTAACATACGCTACAAAAAAATTAAATTTTGTGCAATTACCCCTAAACACACACACACACACATAAACAAACCTCCTGAACACTTGCAGCTATTTGCCAATTAATTTCCAGCAATTACATTTCTGAACAAAGTTGAAACAAAACTCCTCTCCAGACAGACAATGGAGGCAAAGAAGTGCTGTGTTGAAGAGCAGAAGGTTTTTTGTATGGAGAATGCCACAAAAATGGTTGAGAGTATTTCAATCCGTTTCGTGGTGTGGTCTAAACCGCAGCAATTCTGCGGTATACAATGGTTTCTTTTTTGGTTAGAAATGCACTTCCTTTTCTCTCTCTCTCTCTCTCTCTCTCTCCTCCCTCTTCTCACAATAATAATATAAAAAACGTTTGACGGTCCCTTTCAAATTGATAAACCCAAAACTACTACGGAAAACCCCCAAAAGAAACGTCTGCGTCAGTAGTAACGGGGACCAGTCACCCGCTTCACACACCGACAGCGTTACATAATGAGGGGGAAAAAATCAGAGCAATTAAAAGTCGGTGAATTAATTGGTCAGTAAAAGAAAAATGCAGCAATGACTGCTCGCTGTTCAGTGCAAAGATATTTTACCTCATCCCCACCTCAACACACAGCAGCGCCGCCTCTCCCAACAACTGACATTAGACCGTTATATATTTATATATATATATATGTATATGATTTCCTCGCCTCCATGTCAGTGTTTCGAACATCAGAGTGTGGATTTATATTAAAATATATGCGCAAAAAGCCACAGGAGACGACAGACGTTCCCCAGTCCCTACCCTGACGCCCGGGGCCGCCCCACTAGGCCCCGCCACCGGCACTGGGCGCTGTGCTTCCGACAACCCAGAGCCACAGCCCCGGCACTCACTCACTCACTCACTCCGCCAACGGCGGGAGGAAACCCTGAGGTAGGAGCAAGTGTGAGGGGACAGAGACTATGGGGGGGAGGGGGGGGGAGGAGAGGGGGGGGGTGTGAGGGGAGGAGGGGGGAGTGAGGAGAGGGGGGTGTGAGGGGAGTGAGGGGAGTGAGGGGAGGGGGGTGTGAGGGGAGTGGGGGTGTGAGGGGAGTGAGGAGAGGGGGGGAGTGAGGGGAGTGGGGGTGTGAGGGGGGGTGAGGGGAGTGAGGAGAGGGGGGGTGTGAGGGGGGGGAGTGAGGAGAGGGGGGGAGGGAGAGTGTGAGGGGAGGAGGTGTGGGGGAGAGGGAATGAAGAGGGAGAGCGGGTTTTGGAGAAAAGGCGCTGAAATGTGGTGGTTAAACGTCTGGCGCCGCGGGGCGACCGTCGCTGTTCTCCCCGCCCGCCGCGCGCTCACCGGAGTCACGGCCATTCCCCCCACAGCTCGGTCAGAGAGGCCGCCCGGCGGCCATGGCGGGGTCCGCGGGTGTTGTTAGTTCAGCCGCTCTCCTTCCTCCCCTCACTCCGGCCGCCTCGAGACACTCGGAGCCGTCGATGGCGACCCAGCGACCGCCCGTCCATCACGCGCCTGACGTTTGGAAGATCCCAGCCTCCTCGCCCCGCCCCCACCTCACCTACCCGGCGGCAGCCAATCAGGGCGAGCCGTCCCCGGCCGTCCAATCGCCGCGCTCAAACTGCCGTTTCGTCCCCTCCCTCCGCAACGGACCAATTAGAGTAGCGAGTGTCTGCAGACCCGTCCAATCACAGCGCGTGTCTCTACGCCTATCCAATCGAAGCGCTTAAACTATCCCCGTCCCGCCCCCACTTACTTCCCTTTAACCGCCAATCACAATCCTTCCTCCCCGTCCGTCCAATCACAATCCCTCCCCAAGCTGACCACGTGACACACACCGTAATCCCCTCGCTTTATGAGATGCGCCAATCAGAGCACGTATCGTGCCCGCGGCGGCTGATTGGTGGCCTCCGGGGCAGCCCCGCCCACCGTGTGGCCGAGCCCGGACCTGCTCTGGTTCAGGTGTTACACGGTCCGCGCACTGTGGTCCTGAGGGCGCGGGGCATTGGTGCACAGATTGCTGGGGGCGGGGCGGGGCGAGGGGAGGTGAGGGGGTGGGGGAGGGGGTGGGCAAGGGGTGGGGAGAGCGTGGGGAGGGCGAGGGGGTGGGGGGGGGTGGGCGAGGGGGTGGGCAAGGGGTTGGGGGAGAGCGTGGGGGTGGGGGAGGGCAAGGGGGTGGGGGGGGTGGGCAGGGGTGGGGGAGAGCGTGGGGGAGGGCGAGGGGGTGGGGGTGGGCGAGGGGGAGGGCGAGGGGGAGGGCGAGGGGGTGGGCGAGGGGGTGGGGGAGGGGGTGGGCGAGGGGGAGAGCGTGGGGGTTGGGGAGAGCGTGGGGGTGGGCGAGGGGGTGGGGGTGGGCGAGGGGGTGGGGGAGGGGGAGGCTCAGGAAAAGGAGTTCAAATAAAATGCAAAATAGTGCATATGCTGGAAATCTGACAAAGACAGCGATCGCTGGGAGCCCTCCGGGCAGGACAGGCGGCACCTGTGGGGAGAGGAAAGTGGGTCAACGTTTCGGGTCTATGACCCTTCATCAGAACCAAGAGTTTCCCAGAAGGGAATTCAAATGATACTTTCAATCATTTCTAACCACAATTATTCACCCACAAAATAATAATAATCCTTGCATTTGATAACCCTTATCGGGTCTATGAGACATCTCAAAGCGCTTCACAGAATATACCGTGAAGTGTAGTGATTGTGTTTTGTGGGGGAAACATAGCAGCCAATTGCGCACAGCAGTGTCCCACAAACAGTCGTGGATTGAATTGAGTGACCACATTTTTTATTCCTACCAGTCGGATTTTGTAAAGCAAATGATCTCCTAACTTATACAAATGTAATCGTTGCCACTACCAGTTACCGTCTGCATTGAATCGCAGAAAATGAAGTTCTGACAATGATGCCTGCGCACATTCAAATGCTGCTAATTTCATCCCTTATTGCTACCTGATGTCAAGGCATTTGCACTACTGTATTATATTTCTTTCCCACAGATCTGAGATTTTATCTTATCATCTGGTTAGAAATGTCAGCTACAAATTAGACCTGATTAAATCATAATCTATTAAAATAAAAAAGGCCATCCATGAACCGAAGAGCACTGCTCTGAGTCGATGATGCAATGCTGACCTATAATTTTTCTGCTCATTTTATTTCTTTGCATTAAATCTGTACATGGGAAGTAATTGAACTCAAATTGCCTTATGGACAACAGTTCTAGATAGTAGGTATGTGATACAGTACAATAAATACAGTACCACCAAAGTACAGTAAGAGCCAACAGGATTCATTAATTTGATATTAATAATAATAATCCTTGCATTTGATATAGCGCTTTTCACGTCAGGAGGACGTCCCAAAGCGCTTCACAGAACACACTGTAAAGTGAATTGACTGTATATTTGTGGGCGAACGCGGCAGCCAATTGCGCACAGCAATGTCCCACAAACAGTCGTAGATTGAAAATGACCAATTTTTATTATTGTTTTTAGTTTTGAAGGGATTATTATTAGGCTCTGTGTGGAGTAAGGAAACTTGCCCAAGGTTTCGCCCTCTGCCTGGAATTGAACTCAGGTCTCTCGCTTGCAAAGCGAGTGCTCTAACCACTGAGCTACAGAACTCCACAAATACAGATTTTTAGCTCTTTCCCTGTTGTGATTTTGCTCCTCACTACATAGCAACACAGCACACTGCAGCACGAGCACAAACTATGAGACCCATCTTGAACATACCCATAAGTGAGTCAATCTCCTGTTATGAATGTTTGTCAATGACTAACTGGGGTGTATGGGTCTCCTGGTCAACAATTCCCCCAGATAAAAATTGGTCATTCACGTGTAGGTCATTGCAGATCACAAATTGGCTACAAAATATAGTCACTATGCTTTGCCTTGGTTATTGTCAAGCACTTTTGAGACATCCAACTGACATGAAATGCAAAGATTATATCCACTTAAGAGGAGAAAATAGTGAGTGACCTGCTCCAAGGTCACCAACACTGAAAATGCTCCAAGCACTTATGTCGCTGAAATTAGAAAACAATGGGAAGTAAACCCACATTGACTGTTTTATTGCAATACTTCATTCTCTCCCAGAATTAATGTAAGTTGCAAAGGAAATGAGGCACTGATATGCAGACAACTAAGCAAATGTTGGTTGATTTCTTACTATAATTTTTACATCAAAGAATGGTGCAGGTAAAAGGATTGGTTGAGTTTAATGAGCAATCCGATCTGGATCCAAATGCAAGTAAGTTGGCACATGAAAGACTCTCTGCTGGTTTATTATATTCAAGAGATTAAGTGAAATAAAGTTGAAAGTTGTCTCCATAATTCCCACAAAGTGAATTCTCAATCTAGAAAGATGGGAAAGAAACATTAATGGGCAACTCATCCCAGCACATTTCTTCGTAACCAAATACTCTGCGAGTTGCAGGTTTGGAAAAGCTTGTCTGCCGATCTCTTGAGTTAGAGAACGCTGTATAGTATAAGAGAGTCCAGAAGGGGAAGAAATAAAACTTTTAGAAAAGGAAAAAAAAATTGCAGCCAACACACCTTCCAGAGTAAAGGATGGAAATCAAGAGGATTAGTGATCCTGTGTTCTTACCAACCGGTTTAGTAGTCTTAATGAAGTGTCTATTGTAAAGAGAATGATGCACGAATTCCTTTGTTGGGAAAACATAATGTAGAACTGGTGGTGGCGGTGGAAAGGAGATTTGAAAATAATTTTGTTTTTGAGGTTTTGAAACATGTTTCACAAACCTTTTTATAGCTAATTGAAATACCAATAAACCAACAGAAATTGGAACATTTCCATGCTTTTTCAAAAAATTGTATTCCTATTGGTCCACAATGACTGCAGACAAAAAACTTAATTACTGCTCTAAAGGAGACATTATGTTTCAACACCTGTGACTTGTTACTTCAGTCATTTTTCTCCCATCTTCAAGAGTCTGGGGAATATACTAAGTATGCTTTGTTGGTTGTTTCACTTGTGCAATGGAACCACTACAAAAGGAGATGAAATCAGCCTCTTCTTTACAATTTGTACATTCAAATTAAAATGCGAAAGCCATTTGGGCTCCCAGAGGTTCTCAGATTACCTTGGAGATGGATTCTAGTTATTTATTATAATTGGGTAAAACAAGGGTTTGTGGTAACAGACTGGGTCCAGCTTTTGTTCAAAATCTGAAGAGAATGTTATTACATAATTGCATTTTCGTAGTTTGTGAAGTTAAAATCCGCGAGTATGAAATCCTCCAGCTGGGGCCAGTATTATAATTTTGAAAGATTTATCATATTGTACGAAGCACTATAATGTGCTCCAGAATTAACCGCTTACAAATCAATATCCTGAAATATTCTCACAGGAAAAGATCCATTGCACAGATGCAAATTACATTAAACCAAATTAAAACATCAACTATTTCGTTTGCTGTTATTTCTTAATCTGAATTTTGTTAAATAAATAATTTTACACTCAATTACACTTAACAGTTAATCAACTATTTTCATAAAATTGTCGGACCAGCAGCATAATGCTATCAAATTGGATCTTTTACGAAACCTTCAGCTGTTCTAACAAATATTTAGCTTAAAACTGTATAATACATTTTAAAATCATCCTCAGCATTAAACAACTGAGGTGCCACCAGCCCAATTCGCCTGGCACAATTGAGATGCTTTGCCAGTGATCGGTTTAGTTGCTAGATGGAACTGTGCAACCAAAATACATCAGCATTGAAATGCAGAATGATTACAGGTACAATTAATGGTCAATTCTTCTGCCTGTGTTCCGAGATTTTAGATATGGTTACTTCATCAAAATGTTGAAAATATTCGCATCTATTACTTTATTGAAGGTACGTTTCCATTCCTCTCCCTTTCCAAACCTCCTGTGGCAAAACCAGGGTAATATTTTCTCAAATTTGCTAATGCTGCTTTAAATGCTGACTGTCACATGGTATATCAATATGACCAACTGAGAACTTGATTTCACCCTGGCCTCTAGTCCGGTTCAATGACATGAGGGACCCAAATCTATTCTCCAGCATATGCTGATACTCAATGGGTCTGCACTCCCATGATGACATTTATTATTGATAGAATGTCAATACACATATTTGTAATTATGTTAATCTTATTGCAAATGCAGGAAATAATATAAATTTAAGATGGACAACTTGTAATGCCTATACCACAGATCTGTAATGAAAAATCGATTAATAGAAAAGTTGCTCACAAATTGTAAAAGCACTTAACATTTTCTCTCATTTTCTAAACAAAACCATAATAAATATAATCCTTGCATTTGATATCGCGCTTTTCACGTCTTCTAGACGTCTCAAAGCGCTTCACAAAATAATAATAATCCTTGCATTTGATATAGCACTTTTCACATCGGGAGGACGTCCCAAAGCGCTTCACAGAACACACTGTAAAGTGAATTGACTGTATATTTTTTGTGGGCGAACGCGGCAGCCAATTGCGCACAGCAATGTCCCACAAACAGTCGTAGATTGAAAATGACCAATTTAATTATTGTTTTGGTTTTGGAGGGATTGTTATTAGACGTGTGGAGTAAGGAAACTTGCCCAAGGTTTCGCCCTCTGCCTGGAATTGAACTCAGGTTTCTCACTTGCAAAGCGAGTGCTCTAACCACTGAGCTACAGGACTCCACACAAAAAAAGAAGCTGGCCCAATATCCTACCCTACCGAGAATCGAACCTGGGTCTCTTACTTGCGAGGCAAGTGTTCTAACCACTGAGTTACACCATTGACATTGCTGCGTGAAATATACCTAGAGTGTGCTGGCTCACATTCTCAGAGCAAGAGACAGGCAACAGGAAAGTTTGAAATATCTAATCATTTCAGTCAAGGTATGATAATAGAAATCTAAAATAGGCATCCCATCAAATACAGTATCCTTGACAAGTTTCTTTTTAAATTTGCAATGCTTCAACATTGAAAACAGTTAAACTGATTGCTAACAAAAGGAAACTACTGATTCAATATTTTATTTATTCCCTTCTCATCAACCCCTTTATTTTGCTGTGACATACATGCTGAATTAATGCATCTACAGGTGTAAATTTGGCAGGAAAATCAGAGCCTGAACCTGTTGAATCAGGCACCCAGCCAAAATAGCAGCTTGCAGTGCAGTACTAACATTACTAACACTTCTAAACATACTGAGTTCCAATATATCTCAAATGAATTGAAATGCTCAATGCCTATTCATTCAAACCCAACCACTTGAGTAATTATAGTCAGGAGGTCAGTGTTGTGCAAACAGAGTAATCCAGGATGCTCTAACGTCTAGCACCAGTACATATACCTCAAAATGTTTGACAACCTACAGACAAGCCAAGTTATAGGCCTGAATATCTTCAGCCCAGATTAGCTAACTGGTATAAGGAGAAAAGCATCAAGCAACCCATCTAATTTACACACACCAGATTAGAATGCCTGTTGAAATTCATCATTCTTTTTTGGATTAAAAAAAATCTTACACAGCAAATAGTGCCCAAAAAACCTTGGACTTTTTACATTTATCTGAGCTTCTGGTTTGCTATGTTAATTGCACCTCTAAACAGTAAGTGTAACTGTATGCCATGCATCTCATTTCAGAACAGACTGATTTACAGAAAATAAGTTTTTATCGTCATACTTCACAGCTGCCTTATATCCACTGCTATCAATGGCTGCAATCAATAACTTACCTGTACCATTTTAGATCATAATTTAATCAGAACCTGAAATAACACTGCATTAATAAAACCAACTGCTCCCTACCCTCGTAACTAGTTTTTTTTAAAAAAACATGCAATTATGCATAGCAGGAGCCACAATCCAGCAGTATAAGAGAACTTGAACACAATGCTAGGTGAGCACTGCATAGTCTGAGATGCTTTCCTTTATACGAGTCATTAATTAAAAGATTGCATAGCATGATCTGTAGAGGGAATTTCTCCTGGCCAACAATCCTACACATAAATCGCATCATAACCACTTATCCATTTATGTCTCTGGTACTTGTGTAGGTTTGCTGTATCTGTACCATTATATATTTCAACAACAATTTGCAGTAACATAGCGGCCTTCACATAGGATAACTTCTCAGAACATACTTTCATAAGCCCCTTTCTAAATTCCCCTTGTTTAATTTCTAGAGCTTGCATTTGTCATAATCAAGACCTTTTCATTTTAAATTTTCAGTGAAATGAAATTATTCACACAATATGCCACAAGTTAATCAGCCCATTTTATTTGTATTTTATGTGGGAAACCTTAAATAAGATTTTTTTTCTTCTTCAGCTTTGCTCACCACTGCATTCGCTGTCTATTTAAGTTGCGTTAAATCCAATCTCACAAATTTCAGACCAAAAAAAATTCTGCTTTTAAGTGCAAAATGCAAACAAGTGATTTCAACCAATTGAAAAAAATGCTGAACATTCAGCATTGTTAAAATACAAAATGCCTTAGTTCACTGTATTCATAACCTTGTGATTTTTCATTCTCTAATATCAGTAAAACGTTGGAATCAATTTCCTTGTTTGTACAGTCTTTATCCTAGCCTATGGTCTGCCAGCAGCTTTAGTTGGCTTCATTCTTTGACGCCTCATCAAAATTTTCAACAAGGTCTGCAAAATACACAGAAGTTTGTATTAATATAGTTGTAACATGCATTTCAAATTTAAATATATAAATTTTAACATACAGTATTTCAATGTTTAATATTTCAAACAATTAGATAAATAATAATCCTAATATTTGGTACAAAGTTCATCAATACATTTGAACTTAGAACAAATCTAATGTGTTGGGAGGAGCTGGAGGAAGAATAATTTGAAAACAGCACCCAGAGTAGTGAACATGTCTAATTTTACTGCACTAAGTTCCTTATACTGTTATATGCAACTTTGCCAAATAGGTGGCACATACCTTGCAACAGGTGATGCCATAAATGGGGAACTTCTGCAGGTATATTGCTGGTAGGAGTTGCTTACCAAGAGGTGCATGCTCCAGGAAAACCAAAAAAATGTTTTGATTGAGAATAGCATGCTAAGAGACAACTTCATTGTGGGATACTTAGCAAGACTGAAGCTCGATTCAACACTTAACTGTTTGGCACTATGGACTATGGGGGATAAATGACTCAATTATGTCAGCAAGATTACATTTGCTGCAAATCCTGGGTCCTCCAAAATACATTATGAACATGTGTGAACATTCACAGAACTATTAATGCACTACACCAATTTGCACTTAAAAAGCACCCTCCACTCAGGGTAGAGTCTGAGCTTTTACCACTAGCAGAATAATGCCAAGTGCTGGGCAACAAGTACATAAACTTGAGTGACAAACTTCATACAGCTGCAAAATTTGGTTTTGTAGCAAACAGAGACTTAGTACTGAATGAACATAGCTGAATCCAAGACTGCAAAACAGTAGCAAAGCTAAATCTTTGCCAACAGTGTTCAGTTTTAAGCCAGACGTTTCATAGTCAAACTAGCAATTAGCAGCAAGAATAAATCCTAATGCGTTATGTACCTGGGACGTCGTCATCTTCTTCATCGATGTCTTCGGGTTTGGGCGCTTTATTATCCAAAACTAAACCAAACAACAAAAACATTTTTAAACTAATTAAAATTAATTGCTTTGCTGATGTTGTACGTTTTCAAATTGAACTGCTGCTAATAAAGTTACACAAACAGTGAGAATATTAACTTGTAGTGTCTTGTCTGGCACAATTCTTGTTCCACAGTTCTCTTAAAAACAAAAAAGTTATACTCACACTACCAAATGTATTTCCCCCAGCCCCTCCTTGCTATACAAATTCAATGTGATGACCACCCCACCACTATACCAGTGTGAACAAAGATACTAAGTGTTCACAATGCCATATAATTTGGAACCCTTCCTACCCACCTTACAGTGAGTCAGAATAGGCACTAAAAGCACCTTAGAGTAATAGAGACAAAGGATGGAATCGAGCCTAGTTTTATTTTCCTAGCTAGATTGGAAAGTGCTATAATGCACATTAGCACCAGATTCGCATCAGATATTCGGAAGTGTAATATTTATTAGTCACAAATTAAGAGGGAAACTGCAATGAGGACACAAGCAAAACAAGTTGGACTAAACTCTCTCTGCTTACTTCAAAGAGGAGCCTTATCCTTATCTCACATACCACTGTTAGAGCTCCAAGGCATGACTCCGCGTGAAGAGCACTACATAAATGCAAGCTGTTGTCATTTTGAAAGTCTGCAGTAATTAAGCATTGTTTTCAAGTTTTCAAAGATAAGGGAAAGGCATTAAACCAAACCTGTAAACAGTTGCTGCTCGCACATGTTATGCTATTGCCATCTCATGAAATTGAATGCTGGCAGCACAAAGACTTGATACAAGAGTGTCAAATAAGCACGAGATATCAGATAACCTAATTCACCAACAATTCAGCGTCAAAGCTGCAAAAATCCCATTCTTCAGGTTTACCATTTGAACATCACAAAAATGTTCAGCCTGAAGGATTTCTCTGCTGAATTCAGGCTCAAATAACTATTCAGCCTGGACAGGTCTAATACACTCTTCGTAGAAGCTTAATACTTTAGCATCAATAGTGTCTACACAGATTTGCCAACTGTCGGTATGCTTTTTAAAAAAAACACTTCAGGCAACACAAAACTTAATACTCAAAATAATACTGAAAACTTAAATTATAATTCAACAGCAAAGGTACTAGGCAATTGTGCAAAGAGCTTTCGAAATACAATCCCACCTTCGTAATGCAAAGAAAGAATTACCTTGCCGTGGCAACTGCTCAGCTAACTTCCTAAGACTTGTTAGACTGTCTGCTCCAAGCTGACTGAGAATGCCTGGAAGCATTTCTGTGATCTGTTTAGTCTCTGCGTGGCCGGTAATAGCGAAGGTATTGGCAGATAACGAGGCCTGCACTTTGGGGTTATTGAAGTGTATGACCTGCCCATCATCTTTGATCATGTTCACCTGTTTGGCACACAAAGAAAAATCACATTTTAGTACCTCACCCAAGCGACAGAAAATCTAGATGATTGTTTTCATTTCCAGCTGGATGCCCAAAATTAAACTATGGCCCCTTAATTACAGTGTACATCCTTAATTAGTGCCTGTGGATCACATTTAGGACCTCTCGTTATGTGGACCAGTGCCACAAGTGTACATACCTACTAAACTATCAATCATTTTTTGTGAAAGAAAAAAAAAGGAGATAAGGGAGGAATAAAGGACCTATTGTAGAGCAACCTTCCTGGAGGGCTGGGAATGGTGTCTGACCCATCGCTTGATCAGGTATATTTTGTGGAAAAAGTACAACTACAATGAAGTACTATGTGCAACAGGCTACACTAGACAAATAGCTGAAACAACAGGCCAGGAACACATCAAGATTGTGCTTGCATTGAACTCACATATTCTGATCAAACTTTTGATTCAAACGTAAGAGGTCTACCAAATGAGTCAGGCTGACATCTTAATTAAGTGCACTCTATGTTAATTCTACCAACATACCTCTTCAATTCCAGCAATATTATTCACTGCCAGTTTCTTCAAGGAACTTTGCAATTTCTTGTCATCAGCTGTAGCTGTTCTATGTACTACCTTCTTCTTTCTGCGAGCTGTGCCCTGAACAATTACACCAAATTAGCAAGTTAACCAAGCTGAGTCAGTGGATATTGACACTAAAACATCAAACCTTGAATGGCTGTGTGAACTACAAATGGAGCTTATGATAATTAACTATCAGAAAACAATAGCATTTACATCATTGACAAAGCTCATTCTTTCACAAACCAGTTTACATACAATACTTCTGTGGGAGCAGGGAATGAAAAATCAAAACATATCCGTTCCAGAATCTAAAATTGTGTTTAAAGTATAAAAAAAGTAACAACAGAAATTGCCTCCTCTAATATACACAATTATTATCAAACTACAATAAATAATTAAGGCAAAAGTCTTACCTTTCCTCCTATCCGGACCTGAGCCTGTAATTTAGCTAATTTTTCTTGATTCATAGTCTTTATCCTTGGGAAGAAAAATTAAACAGAGTTAACTCAACTTGAAGCAAAGGTGAAAGAGACTAAGAATAGTACTGCACTATAGCTTCTCTGTGCTAGTGCATTAATAGGACACCTGCTTCCTCTTCCCTGCAGGATGAGCTCTCAGTCACAGCCTGAAAGTTAAGGGTGGAAAGTATAATGCAACCCATGCTTTCCTCTTCATCTTGTACAACAACTAGTAGAAGGCTCCATAGGGACACTGCCCTGGAGCAGGAGCACCTTCTTAGGTGGGGCATGACAAGTGAGACACAGTCCTAAATATGGGGGAAAGGGGAGAAAATATATTTAAAGCATTTTTAAACTTTACTTCATTTATTACTCCAGTCTGTTAGTTCTGGATGATCCTGTGGGCAGAGGGAGAACATACTGCCTTACAACCATAAGTTTGGATTACACTATTCCCAACTGTCACTTACTTTCCACTATATCCACAAGTAATTCAGACTAAAAAAATACACAATTCTTCAGTCAACTAAGTCATGGTTGTGAAAATGGACTAAAATGTCTACAGATGAGAAGAAATATATTAACAGTAAAACAGGTTACATTATGATGCAAAGCAAGCTTTTTATATTTCTATTGAGCAATGAACCCCTTTCATATAGTTATACACTTTTTAAACTCATTTATCAGGGGAGGGTGGAATTTTGCACGGTATTTCTAGTTCTGGGGAATAATGCCCTGGACAAACACAAGTGTTTCGAGGTCATAACAGAGACTACACAAAAGGCTCCGACAATGGATTCAACTAGAACTATTCACAATTGATTAGTGGTTGATGCTATTGTCCACTTTGCATCTACAAATCTGAAAAGAGGATTTAATTAAAAACTATTAATTGCAAACCTTGAGCTTCACAACTTCTACACATAGTCAGTCACATTGCAGAATAAAAGATGGGTCCAACATCGCTGGACCTGAAGTACCGAATTCCCACTTCTCGTGCCCAGCCATAAAGGCTTCATAGTGACATTGCCTCGGAGCAGGAGCACCTCCGTAGGTGGGGCATAACAAGTGCCCACCACCACTCTTTACAACTTGCATCTCAGGCAGACAGAACCTGTTCTATAATAAAAATAATAACCGTTGCATCTGATATAGCGTCTTATCACGTATTGTTGAGACATCTCAAAGCGCTTCCCAGGGTATACTGTAAAGTGTAGTGACTGTGTATTTTGTGGGCGAAACACAGCAAATGTAAGCCTGAAAGAATAAACCCAGCAGGTGGCGAGTTTTAAAATAGGGGGGGGGGAGGGGGGGAGACACTCCTCAGGCCGGGGTCAGGCACGAGTTAGTTCACTGCACTCTTCGCACTGGAGTCGGGCCCGCGGCCTAGTGGCTGCACCTCTCTGTCTCTGGCCTTGGGCCCCACCTGACACCGCCTCCTCCCCCTCACACACCAGGAGCAATGACAGGATAACGGTGCAACCGCTCCCCCCGGTGTCTCCCCCCCCCGGGAGCCGGCGCCCACCACACCCCCCACAGCCCCATCAGCACCATCGCCTCACGTAAAAGGTCAGCGGCGCCCCAGTAAGTCAGTAAGTGACCGTCGCAACAACAAACTTTTCCTTTTTCCTCTCTCTTTCTCTCATAAACACGCGCGCGCATCACACACCCGCACAACGCCGCACACCTTGTAAAGTGTGTGTACTGTTATCCTCCCTCACAACACAAAGCCCCGACTCGGGAACACACGCGGCGAACAAGATGGCGGCGGTCAGACCCGGGCGGCGAGTGGCGGGCGGCAGGAACAGCCAGCGCGCCTGCGTCACCGCCTGCGTCAGCCGCCACGTGACGCCTCCCTCCTCGGCCGAGCGTCGGTTCCCACGTGATGTCAGTCGGCGGCGTCACGCGCCACGTGACTCCTCCCTCGGTCGGTCCCCACGTGACTGTTTTATTGGGTCAGACTGACACACGTCATGAACCCACCGACAGTTTGACTTCATTGGGTATATCAAAGAACTATAAATGTGCAAATATGACAATAATAATCCTGACATTTGATACAGCGCCTTATCACGTCTTTGAGACGTCTCAAAGCGCTTCACAGGATATACTGTAAAGGTAGTGACTGCGTATTTTGTAAGCAAAAGGCAGCGGCCAATTGCGCACAGCACTGTCCCGCAAATGGATTGAGTGACCAAATTATTATTAGTGTTGACATGAAGATAATCTCAACTAAAAATTGTGGCATAATTTATTTCTGGAAAAAATTGTAACCTCATTCTGTGTGTCTCACTGGGGATAATTGTAAATGGTTTTGCAATGCGTCCGTTTACTCTAATGGACAAAGTTAAAGACTCCCACCCAGTTGGTTTTGGACCAGACATAAGACTTTAAACAGAATTGTCTACAAGGAAATCTGGATTTGAAAGTAGAAATCTACTCTGTTAGTCATGATGTGAACAAATTAGTCAAATTATGTTTTTTAATAATAATGAATCCATGGATTGCTCCTTCCACCCGCCCCCATCCTGCTCCGGTTTCATTTTCGGTGGAATAATGACTTTGGGCGAGCATAAATTTAAACTAAGCATCTTGGTTTTTAACCTTCCTCCCTTCCTCACTCCCTTCGCCTCGTCCTCTCTCTCTCTTCCTATGTTCAGATCCTGGCCGAAGACCTTTCTTTTTGATCGCGCCTTTGGTCCCCTTCCTCCCCCTCCCTCTGGCTCGGCCCCAGGATCCGTTACTGTGAAGCACTCTGCGACACCGTCCAGCATGGAGGGCGCTATATTAAATCCAAGTTGTTGATGTTAACCTCAGCTTTGCCATCACTCACAACCCGCAGGTTGGGTTGTCGTCATGAATTGTACGTAACGTGTTGCTGGTCCGGAGTGAAATGGATGACCGGTCACTAAGGTTTGCAAAACAATACCCGGACGGGCGGGAGTGCATTCATTTAAAGTTGCCCAAGTGTTGGCAAAGAAGCCCACGGCCCAATTGGCTGTGAAACCACCCAAGTCTGGGCACACGGGGCTGGCGGAACCCACCCCACCAACCGCGTGCGGATTATTGGACACAATGTGGAATTCCGCGGCTACAAAGCGGTTAATTGCCCTCCGATGACGTCACTTCCGGGCGCCGCCTCCTTCCCTCTCGTTACATTGTAACCGCGACTCCGACACTCGGCAACAATCCGCTCCCGGTCCCCGGTCCCCGGTATGAAGCCGCCGCTCCTCCGCCTCTCGTTCCTTCTCCTTCTCATCACTTCCCAATCATCTGCCGACGAGAGTCCCGGGAGAGGTGCGTCAGCTCTCTGTTTATATTACACACACACACACACACAGGGACACACACACACACACACACAGGGACACACACACACACACACACACAGCCACTCACACACATACTCTCACACAAACAGGGACACACACACACACAGGGAGACACACACACACACACAGGGACACACACACACACACACACAGGGACACACACACACACACACAGGGACACACACACACACACACAGGGACACACACACACACACACACAGGGACACACACACACACACACAGGGACACACACACACACACACACAGGGACACACACACACACAGGGACACACACACACACACACAGGGACACACACACACACACACAGGGACACACACACACACACACACAGGGACACACACACACACAGGGACACACACACACACACACACACAGGGAGACACACACACACACACACAGGGACACACACACACACACAGGGACACACACACACACACACACAGGGAGAGACACACACACACACACACACAGGGACACACACACACACACACAGGGACACACACACACACACACACACAGGGAGAGACACACACACACACACACACACACAGGGACACACACACACAGGGACACACACACACACACACACAGGGACACACACACACACACACAGGGACACACACACACACACACAGGGAGAGACACACACACACACACACACAGGGACACACACACACACACACAGGGACACACACACACACACACAGGGAGAGACACACACACACACACACAGGGACACACACACACACACACAGGGACACACACACACACACACACACAGGGAGAGACACACACACACACACAGGGAGAGACACACACACACACACACACACACACAGGGACACACAGGGACACACACACACAGGACACACACAGGGACACACACACACACACACACAGGGACACACACACACACACACAGGGACACACACAGGGACACACACACACACACAGGGACACACACACACACACACACAGGGACACACACACACACACAGGACACACACACACACACACAGGACACACACACACACACACACACACACAGGACACACACACACAGGACACACACACACACACACAGGGACACACACACACACACACACACAGGGACACACACACACACACACACAGGGACACACACACACACACACAGGGACACACACACACAGGGACACACACACAGGGACACACACACACACACACAGGGACACACACACAGGGACACACACACACACACACAGGGACACACACACACACACACACAGGGACACACACACACAGGGACACACACACACACACACAGGGACACACACACAGGGACACACACACACACACACACAGGGACACACACACACACACACACACACACACACACACACAACACACAGGGACACACACACACACACACAGGGACACACACACACACACACACACAGGGACACACACACACACACAGGGACACACACACACCACACACACACACAGGGACACACACACACACACACAGGGACACACACACACACACAGGGACACACACACACACACACACACACACAGGGACACACACACACAGGGAGACACACACACACACACACACACACAGGGACACACACACACACAGGGACACACACACACAGGGACACACACACACACACACACAGGGACACACACACACACACACACACACAGGGACACACACACAGGGACACACACACACACACACACACACAGGGAGACACACACACAGGGAGACACACACACACACACAGGGAGACACACACACACAGGGAGACACACACACACACAGGGAGACACACACACACAGGGACACACACACACACACACACAGGGACACACACACACACACACACAGGGACACACACACACACACAGGGACACACACACACAGGGACACACACACACACAGGGACACACACACACAGGGAGACACACACACACACAGGGAGACACACACACACAGGGAGACACACACACACACACAGGGAGACACACACACACACACAGGGAGACACACACACACACACAGGGAGACACACACACACAGGGAGACACACACACACACAGGGAGACACACACACACACAGGGAGACACACACACACACACACAGGGAGACACACACACACACAGGGAGACACACACACACACACACACAGGGAGACACACACACACAGGGAGACACACACACACACAGGGAGACACACACACACACAGGGAGACACACACACACACAGGAGAGACACACACACACACAGGGAGACACACACACACACACAGGGAGAGACACACACACACACAGGGAGACACACACACACACAGGGAGACACACACACACACAGGGAGACACACACACATACACACGGAGACACACACACACACACAGGGAGACACACACACACACAGGGAGACACACACACACACAGGGAGACACACACACACACAGGGAGACACACACACACACACACACAGGGACACACACACAGGGACACACACACACACACACAGGGAGACACACACACACAGGGAGACACACACACACACAGGGAGACACACACACACAGGGACACACACACACACAGGGACACACACACACACAGGGACACACACACACACACACACAGGGACACACACACACACAGAGACACACACACACACACAGGGACACACACACACACACACAGGCACACACACACACACACAGTGACACACACACACAGTGACACACACACACAGTGAGACACACACACACACAGTGAGACACACACACACAGTGAGACACACACACACACACAGTGAGACACACACACACAGCGAGACACACACACACAGTGAGACACACACACACACAGGGAGACACACACACACACAGGGAGACACACACACACACAGGGAGACACACACACACACACACACACAGGGAGACACACACACACACAGGGAGACACACACACACACAGGGAGACACACACACACACAGGGAGACACACACACACACACAGGGAGACACACACACACACACAGGGAGACACACACACACACACAGGGAGACACACACACACAGGGAGACACACACACACAGGGAGACACACACACACACACACGGAGACACCACACACACACACAGGGAGACACACACACACACACAGGGAGACACACACACACACAGGGAGACACACACACACACAGGGAGACACACACACACACACACAAGGAGACACACACACACAGGGAGACACACACACACAGGAGAGACACACACACACAGGAGAGACACACACACACAGGAGAGACACACACACACAGGAGAGACACACACACACACACACACAGGGAGTCACACCCACACACACAGGGAGACACACACACACACAGGGAGACACACACACACAGGGAGACACACACACACAGGGAGAGAGACACACAGGGAGACACCCACACACAGGGAGACAGACACACACACACACACACACAGGGAGACACACACACACAGGGAGAGAGACACACAGGGAGACACCCACACACAGGGAGACACACACCCACACACAGGGAGACACACACACACACACACACACACAGGGAGAGAGAGACACACACACACAGGGAGAGAGAGAGACACACACACAGGGAGACACACACACAGGGACACACACACACAGGGAGACACACACACAGGGAGACACACACACAGGGAGACACACCACAGGGAGACACACACAGGGAGACACACACACAGGGAGAGACACACACACAGGGAGAGACACACACACAGGGAGAGACACACACACAGGGAGAGACACACACACAGGGAGAGACACACACACACAGGGAGACACACACACAGGGAGACACACACACACAAGGAGACACACACACACAGGGAGACACACACACACAGGGAGACACACACACAAAGGGAGACACACACACACACACACAGGGAGACACACACCCACACACTCAGGGAGACACATACCCACACACACAGGGAGACACACACCCACACACACAGGGAGACACACACCACAGGGAGACACACACCCACACACACAGGGAGACACACACACACACAGGGAGACACACACACACACAGGGAGACACACACACACACAGGGAGACACACACACAGAGACACACACACACACACAGGGAGACACACACACACACAGGGAGACACACACACAGGGAGACACACACACAGGGAGACACACACACACACACACACAGGGAGACACACACACACACACACACAGGGAGACACACACACACACAGGAGACACACACACACACAGGGAGACACACACACACACACACACAGGGAGACACACACACACACACAGGGAGACACACACACACACAGGGAGACACACACACACACAGGGAGACACACACACACACACAGGGAGACACACACACACACACAGGGAGACACACACACACACACAGGGAGACACACACACACAGGGAGACACACACACACAGGGAGACACACACACACACACACGGAGACACACACACACACACAGGGAGACACACACACACACACAGGGAGACACACACACACACAGGGAGACACACACACACACAGGGAGACACACACACACACACACAAGGAGACACACACACACAGGGAGACACACACACACAGGGAGACACACACACACAGGGAGACACACACACACAGGGAGACACACACACACAGGGAGACACACACACACACACACACAGGGAGTCACACCCACACACACAGGGAGACACACACACACACAGGGAGACACACACACACAGGGAGAGAGACACACAGGGAGACACCCACACACAGGGAGACAGACACACACACACACACACACAGGGAGACACACACACACAGGGAGAGAGACACACAGGGAGACACCCACACACAGGGAGACACACACCCACACACAGGGAGACACACACACACACACACACACACAGGGAGAGAGAGACACACACACACAGGGAGAGAGAGAGACACACACACAGGGAGACACACACACAGGGACACACACACACAGGGAGACACACACACAGGGAGACACACACACAGGGAGACACACACACAGGGAGACACACACAGGGAGACACACACACAGGGAGAGACACACACACAGGGAGAGACACACACACAGGGAGAGACACACACACAGGGAGAGACACACACACAGGGAGAGACACACACACACAGGGAGACACACACACAGGGAGACACACACACACAGGGAGACACACACACACAGGGAGACACACACACACAGGGAGACACACACACAAAGGGAGACACACACACACACACACAGGGAGACACACACACACACACAGGGAGACACACACACACACAGGGAGACACACACACACACACACAGGGAGACACACACAGGGAGACACACACACACACACAGGGAGACACACACACACACAGGGAGACACACACACACACAGGGAGACACACACACACACAGGGAGACACACACACAGGGACACACACACACACACAGGGAGACACACACACACACAGGGACACACACACACCACAGGGAGACACACACACAGGGAGACACACACACACACACACACAGGGAGACACACACACACACACACACAGGGAGACACACACACACACAGGGAGACACACACACACACAGGGAGACACACACACACAGGGAGACACACACACACAGGGAGACACACACACACACAGGGAGACACACACACACACAGGGAGACACACACACAGGGAGACACACACACACACACACACACACAGGGAGACACACACACACACACACACACAGGGAGACACACACACAGGGAGACACACACACACAGGGAGACACACACACACACACAGGGAGACACACACACACACACAGGGAGACACACACACACACACAGGGAGACACACACACACACACAGGGAGACACACACACACACAGGGAGACACACACACACACACACAGACACACACACACACACACACACACACACAGGGAGACACACACACACACAGGGAGACACACACACAGGGAGACACACACACAGGGAGACACACACACAGGGAGACACACACACACAGGGAGAGACACACACACAGGGAGAGACACACACACAGGGAGAGACACACACACAGGGAGAGACACACACACACAGGGAGACACACACACACACAGGGAGACACACACACACAGGGAGACACACACACACAGGGAGACACACACACACACACACAGGGAGACACACACACACACACAGGGAGACACACACACACACACAGGGAGACACACACAGGGAGACACACACACACACACAGGGAGACACACACACACACAGGGAGACACGCACACACACACACACAGGGAGACACACACACACACAGGGAGACACACACACAGGGACACACACACACACACAGGGACACACACACACACACAGGGAGACACACACACACACAGGGAGACACACACACACACACACACACACAGGGAGACACACACACACACACACAGGGAGACACACACACACACAGGGAGACACACACACAGGGAGACACACACACACACACACAGGGAGACACACACACACACACACACAGGGAGACACACACACACAGGGAGACACACACACACACAGGGAGACACACACACAGGGAGACACACACACACACAGGGAGACACACACACACAGGGAGACACACACACACACAGGGAGACACACACACACACAGGGAGACACACACACACACAGGGAGACACACACACACACACACACACACACAGGGAGACACACACACACAGGGAGAAACACACACACACACACAGGGAGACACACACACACACACAGGGAGACACACACACACACACAGGGAGACACACACACACAGGGAGACACACACACACACACAGGGAGACACACACACACACACAGGGAGACACACACACACAGGGAGACACACACACACACAGGGAGACACACACACACACAGGGAGACACACACACAGGGAGACACACACACAGGGAGACACACACACACACAGGGAGACACACACACACACACAGGGAGACACACACAGGGAGACACACACACACACACAGGGAGACACACACACACAGGGAGACACACACACACAGGGAGACACACACACACACACACACACAGGGAGTCACACCCACACACACAGGGAGACACACACACACCCAGGGAAACACACACACAAAGGGAGAGAGACACACAGGGAGACACCCACACACAGGGAGACACACACACACACACACACAGGGAGACACACACACACAGGGAGAGAGACACACAGGGAGACACACACCCACACACAGGGAGAGACACACACACACACACACAGGGAGAGAGACACACACACACAGGGAGAGAGAGAGACACACACACAGGGAGACACACACACAGGGAGACACACACACAGGGAGACACACACACAGGGAGACACACACACAGGGAGACACACACACAGGGAGACACACACACACAGGGAGAGACACACACACAGGGAGAGACACACACACAGGGAGAGACACACACACAGGGAGAGACACACACACACACAGGGAGAGAGACACACACACACACAGGGAGACACACACACACACACACAGGGAGAGACACACACACACACACACAGGGAGAGACACACACAGGGAGAGACACACACACACAGGGAGAGACACACACACACAGGGAGAGAGACACACACACACAGGGAGAGAGAGAGAGACACACACACACAGGGAGAGACACACACACACACACACAGGGAGAGACACACACACACACACACAGGGAGAGACACACACAGGGAGAGACACACACACACAGGGAGAGACACACACATACAGGGAGAGACACACACACACACAGGGAGAGAGAGAGAGACACACACACACAGGGAGAGACACACACACACAGAGAGAGACACACACACACACAGGGAGAGAGAGAGAGACACACACACACAGGGAGACACACACACACACACACACACACAGGGCTGAGGAAACATATGTTAGACGCACATATTACAGACTGGTCTCCAGACTGAGGGGGTGGGGAGGGGGCACCGCCGCCTGTGCTCTTCGGCATTTTCGACGAGTTTCGTTGTAAATGTTTGTGTTGAATTGACCTCTCGGTGGTGATGCGGTGAGTGTGGATTGATGTTGTTAACCGCAGTTCAGAGTGATTGGGGTATAGTATGATTGTGGGGTATATATCTGCATATCCGTAACGGGCAAACAAACACTTTCACATTCGCTCCATTTTGTCTCGATACTTCCTATCCCCAACAGAGCCACAGAAAGCAGATAGAAGGAGCACAAGATTTGGGGTGACTAATAATGTCAGAGTAGCCCTTTAGGGTCGGATACTGTCCCATAGACTGAGTATTGTTCATTGTATCCGGGGAAGAGGAGTTCCTCTGTAGATTGCAATGTTCATTAATGTATATGAGTTAGAAAGATGAAAAACTAACTTCAGAGAGTGCTTTTATGTTGTTGAGTTTAAAGCAAACAGTCTCTCTGAATACAAGAGAACGACAGGCAACGATAAAGGTCCTTATAGCTTCACATCAAAGGATCTTTTGTGCTTGATTTGGAGATCAAACTGTAAAGAAAATGGCAAAATAATGTGAGTTCCATCTCCTCAGGGAAATCAACTAACATTTCAGCAGCCCTAGATTTTATGAATGTAATCTTCCAAAATATATCTCCCCCTGGGTCTGGTGCTGTCATTTAACATAAGAATTATGTAGAATATACAGTTGAAACAGGCCATTCAGGCACTATACAAAATATTATGTCTCTACTCCTAATTTCCCAATGCAATTCCCATAGCAATGTCCACAAACTGTCATGGCAAAGTCCTGAAGATGGGCGAATATCTTCATCCGTATGGTAAACCTTCAGGATTATGTTATTGGAGGAGCCATTAAATGTGTGATTGGATGTGTGTTTGTAGGGAGGAGGGAGGGAGGGATGGAGAGAGAGGTGATCCATGAAAGAGGGACAGGTTACTTAATGATCTCTTCATTTTATCCCTTTCTTGTTTTTCTTATAATTTGACCCACTGCTACAGCTGGGATTTCTCCTGTCAGTTGACATACTAACACTATATTTTTATTCAGGATTTGGAGACCACATTCACTGGAGAACCCTGGAGGATGGTAAAAAAGAAGCTGAAGCTAGGTATATCTTTACTGTTTCTCAGATGAATGGTGCTATAAATAAAAATAGTTGTTATTAATAACAATAATATAATAATCCTGGCATTTGATCTGGCACCTTATCACATTATCAAAACATCCCAAAATGCTTGACAGGATTTTACTGTGAACTCTGTATCTGCTTTACTATGGATTTGCAGCAGCCAGTTTGCACACAGCAAATGCCCCAACACGTCTTGTTGAAGAGATCTTGTTGTTTACTTCCCCAGAACTCGCTCAGATTTGTTTTAAGGTAGTGGGACTGATTGTCCTGCAGTGTATGTTGATCAGTTAGTGGAGCCAGCCGGAGTGCTTGCTGCACATATGATTTTTCAGCACATCAGTGGGTTTTATTCTGTCATTTTACCACAAGGCGTCAGTGTTTTCCTTCTCCGAAGGGGTCAAATAGTTTACGTGTGCTCAGCACTGTGTGTTTTGTCTCGAGGCGCCATTCCCTGACTCTGAGGCTGGTGAACCTGTTCCCATTCTTCTCAGTGCTGCACTGTCACAGGCTGCTGGGAGCTGTGTAGGAGCTGCATGACTGATACACTACCATTCAGATTCCTGTTGGGAAGCCATTCCAACTCCTGACTTTCTTGACTGCACTGGCTCCTTTTGTATTTTTATAAGCACCACGTATCGTAATAACGAGGTGCAGCCAGGAACTATTCTAAGAACAATAGCTGTCTTGTGAAATTGATTCTGGTGGTTGCACATAGGACAGAGCGAGGGAGAGAGAAGCTGCTGTGCTGAACCAGATTTCTCATTGTCCATTCATTGTTCTTGTAATCCCTGTTTCGCCTTCATTTTGGATGAGGATTGTGCGCGTGTGAGATAGTAGCAGGTGATACAGTTCCATTGACAAGAGGAGCGAGTAGTGAAACATTCTGGGTGACCTTTTTGGATAGTTGCCAAATGTCAAGGTGAAGCTGGAAGATCTCAGGCCCAGGATTGTGGGACATTCAGAACTCTGCAGCTCGTGTACTGTCCCGCACCAGGCTTCGCGACCACATCACTCCCACCCTCACCCTCGCCCTCACCCTCGCTCGCCTCCACTGGCTCCCCATCCCCCAGAGGATCGAATTCAAGATCCTCATCCTCACCTACAAGGCCATTCATGGCCTCGCTCCCTCCTACCTCTCCAACCTACTATCCCCCTACCTTCCTGCCCATACCCTCTGTTCCTCTGGCTCCGGTCTGCTCCACACCCCCCGCCCCCAACCGCCCTACCATTAGTGGCCGGGCCTTCAGCCTCTCAGCCCCTAGGCTCTGGAACTCCATCCCCAGTGCCTTCGCCGCTTCCTCCCTTTCCTCCTTCAAGGCCGGTCTCAAGACCTTTCTCTTTGACCGAGCCTTCAGCTCCCCTCTCGACTCTCTACCCCCTCCTCACTCCTTCCCTCCCCTCACCATTTCCCCCTTCCTCGCTCCCTCCCTTCCCTCACCCTGACCATTTTCCCCCAATGCTCAGGTCCTGACCCAACTGTCCAGCGCCTTGGGATGTCCTCCCAACGTGAAAGGCGCTCTATAAATGGAATCTTGTTGTTGTTGACTGTTTGTGGGCACAGGCACGATGGGCCGAATGGCCTCCTTCTGTGCTGTAAGATTCTATAAAATCATGATACTTCTGCAAATCTTTGGAGTTTCTTTGCCCATTGTTGTTGAGCTTGTTTTACGTAACCCAGCAATGTTTAAAACCTCCGCTCAATATACAGGTAGAAATTCAGTGATTGCTCTTCACAAGTGGTTCAGAGCAAGTATGTGTTGATCTATAGATTCTTTTTGTTCCTTTTAGTGGCCTTCCATTGATGTTGATCATACACAAAAGCTGGTGTGGAGCTTGTAAAGGTGAGCTATAATTTCTGTATTGCCCTCAGTTCCTACTTTACATTTTGTGTAAGAGAGATGGAGGCAGGACATGTGTCTGCCTCTCCGTCATGGATTGTATGTGTTTATGTGTGATGGATACATCTATCTTACACGCTGCATATGAAAAATATTTTCACCTCTTTTTTTTCTGTCAGCACTGAAACCAAATTTTGCTGCCTCCAAAGAGATCTCAGAATTGGCCCATAACTTTGTCATGGTTAATGTTGAGGTAAGAATATCTTTCGGTCACCCATTTCTAAGCCATGTGTACCTGTTACATTGTCCAAGCAGATGATTCAACAAGCAGTCTCTGAACAGCAATTGGGAGTAGGAACCATTCTTAGAACCAGTTTCCTACCAGATCTAGATATTCTGCGGCCAATGTTAGTACACGTTCTTACAAGAATAGTGAATATGGTCAGAAGCCATTACATATACATGTAAAGCATTTTCAGTTTAATGTGTGTACTGATGTTGCAGCCCTGATGTATTGTGCTAATTAATGTTCTATAGGATGAAGATGAGCCCAAAGATTCCATATTCAGCCCCGACGGAGGCTACATACCTAGAATCCTCTTCTTGGGTAAGACCACAATTTATTTTACAGTTACAGACCTGCCGAGTCCTTTCCCTGTCCATGGGAACCTTTCTCTCTTTATGTGAAGTCACAGGACTTCTCCAAACCAGTCATGTCAGGATGGCCAAAGGGCCAACTTCAGCTAAGTAGATCTCTCTTATAGTCTCAGGCTTCTTGTTATTTTCTCCCTCTGTCCCCTCCACACTCTTTCTATGTACGGTAAACTTTGGATAAACTCCTCACTTCCAAGGGAATAGAGTTCAGTGACTATTTATCCTGAGTGGTGAGTCAGGGGTAGGTCTTCCTTGGCCCCAGGGGGTGCTGTGACTGGTGTGGGCGCTCAGCAGAGGCCTCCGTGCTGCGGCTTCTCCCTTATCCTGTCCCAGAGGCCTGTGGTCTATTGGAGGCCATGTTGTGTCACAGTAGGACAGGAGGCCAATGAGTGACCCTTCAGTAGACCAGAGGCCTCTGCAATGTGCCCAACCTCTGCCGAGTGCCTGCATTAGTCACTCAGAGGTTAGGGCACAAGGTCTCTGTGATACAAGATGCCATCTTATAGAGCGAGTTATCTGATCCATTTTACAGTGATTACTTACAAGAATTTCTAGAATGTGACCAGTTATGTGATAAAAAAAGTCCCTGATCAACTTTTAGCTCAGGAAGTGGCCAGGACACTGACGGCTTAGCTCGGCAACTCTAAGTGATGGTGACAAGTTAACCAGGGTCGGGTTGTCAGGAGTTTTACTGTATTTGCAAAATGAATATTTATTGAAAAATAAATCCTTTAATCCACGGCAGAACTCTGGCAATATTACTTACCCAAAGTTTTTCTTTTTGACATAGAATTGATCCACAAAAAAATAGTTGCCTGTTCCTAAACCAAGTAGCAGATTTTCATTCGGGCAAATATTGACCATGAGGCTTTCTGGCTTCTCAATACTGTGTACTTGAGATTTATTGACCAATTTTCATTGCATGAGGTGAACTAGGGTATACTCTTATTCAGAGTAAAATGTAGGTAAAGAAAGTGTAAAACAAAGGGAAGAATTGCCGATCAAACCATTTGTTATTAATGTCTATTTTGACTGGATACGTTACAGATGCCCACGGCAAGGTTCATCCAGAGATCATCAATGAGAAGGGAAACCCCAATTACAAATATTTCTACAGTTCTGCTGATCAAGGTGGGCATTCATTCAGCACTCAATTCTTTCTCTACCAAATGCGAGGATTATTAATTCATATAAAGAACATTTTTAAAAATTAATGATTTGGTCACTCAATCCATGGCTGTGTGTGGGACGCTACTGTGCACAATTGGCTGCCGCGCTTCATCCCCAAAATATAGTCAATTCTCTTTACAGTATATTCTGTGAAGCGCTTTGAGATGTCTCAGCAGCATGATAAGGCGCTGTATATCAAATGCAAGGATTATTGTTCACTCCTCTCTTTACAGTTTTTGCCTTTATTCTGATTCTTTTGTAAGTTTACTATTAACTTCTGCCTTATTTCTAACTTCTATATTGTACATTTTCTGGAACTTAGTTTTTTGTAAGAAGGGACCCTATAGAGGTGTTTGATTATGAAAGGATTTGATAATCTCAAAATTGCCACTTGCCTTAAAGAACAGGACAATTTCAGTTGTACAGTGCTAGTTACTAGTGTGATGTTCCCACTTGTTAGTGAGTCCCTAAACGAACAGGGAATAAATAGAAGATAGCCAGAAGCCAATTGACATAAGGTGGTGAGAATGTGACTGAAGCTTTAGGTGAAGTAAACAGTGTTGACGTTTTCAAGAGGGAATGTGATGCACACATAAGGGAGGAAGGAATAGAGGTGTGTGGGACAGAGATTGAGCAGAGCGGAGGGTCATATGGTGTATAAATGTTGGCACAGACTAGTTTAGCTGAATGATCTGTTTCCTTGTACTGTATCATTCTATGTAATTCGTCCACTCCCCTTCCTCGGCAAAACACAATCCATTTACATGCACGTGTGAGAATGTCACCAGGTCTGTTAGTAACTAGCACTGTACAACTGGATTTATCACGTTCTTTAAGGCAAGTGGCAATTTTGAGATTATAATTTGGGGATGAGAGAAGGGAAGAGAACTTTGCTATTATTGGAACAATACTGCGACGTCACACTCTCCAACCGCTTGACAAATTGCCAGTGGAGAAACAAAGAAAGGTTAGAGTGCTTCCGTGTGTTTGGGGAATGTGTTAGGAAGCTCTTGCTGTATTTATCACCACCAACATTTTTATGCGATTGTGTTTTCTTCTCATCTGAAACCATCCAGCATTCTTTTCCTTCACTGAGATGAATAATCCTTGCATCTGACCCAAATCTACGGAAACCCCTCCCGCTCGCTTGCCCATTGTTTCCTCTCCTGTCCATGTGTGAGCCTCGACTGAGAGTTCAGCAGGTTATTCAACTGTGTGTGGGGGTAGCAAGCCCGATCCTGGCCTTGCAGTGTTCGTGTGTACACATGCTAGCTGCTGTCTCTGCGTAGCAATTCTTAACCCAACTGTCATTAGTTTTGTTGGATTGGTCGACAAAAGGGCAAAGGAATACAATAAAAACTAACAATTGTTTTCAGTGTGCCCTGCACTCTAATACTTGAGCATGTTAGGTGTTGGATGTGTTCTCACTGAGTCTCTGTTTATTGTGTGTGTGTGTGCGCAGTGTTGGTCGCCATGACAGAGGCGCAGAATAAGCTGACGGGCGATGTATCCAGAAAGGAACGTGTCTCTGATGAGCTGTAATGGTGGTCAGTGCCCGTGCCCTGCCTGACAATAATAACCTTCAACACACAGCCACTTGTGAACTTCAGCAGATTTTTTTTTAAGTTTTTAAATAATTCTATACCTTTCAATAAACTCTACCTGGTGAGGCCTGTTTAAAGCTCACTATTACAGTGTCGTCAACCAGTGTTTTTAATAAATCCTATTTGGTTGTAGAATTACATGATTACTAACAAGGCAAAGTGACTCGCTTGTCAACCTTTTAATTTACTCGGCTGAAAAGTGTGACCCAAATCCCTGGTGCCAACAACAAACATTCAGAGAGGGTCATATAGTTAGTTGTGTGGTTCTGAATAGTATAAAGTGCTGAGTTGGGAGAAAGTCTTAAAAGTCTTTATAGAAACAAATTGGTGCTGGAACGTAAGAGTACTACTGTACATTACATCTGATGATTCACTTCCATGGTATTAGGGTATCAGTCTGGCTCAGTCGGTAGCACTGTCTCTGTCAGAAGGCTGTGGGTTCAAGCCCCATGTTGGGTCTAAGCTGCCACTCTAATGCAGTGCCTTGGGGATGCACTATGGTGGATGAAAACCATATTCTAGCCTTGACAACAGAGTGAGAAGGGAAACATCCCAAAACATCTACAAATTGTAAAACTGTCTGTTACTGGGTGTGGGAGTAGTTTTATTTTACACAACATGAAGTGTCCTGTGAAAATTAATGTGGAGAATTGGTCTACTGCTGTCCTATCACTATTGTATTTTTGATACATCTTTTGGGATGAAAACCATTAAATAAATGAAAGAAATGTTTGCTGTCTCTGTGTAATACAACAACTTACACTTACATTGTGCTCCTCATGCAGGGTAGCGCACAGAGCCTTTGGCGAGGGAGCCCTGTTCGAATGCTGGTTCAGTTGCAATGGGATTGAGGTGTAGACTCTGACATTTACTTAACAAAACATGCAGAACGCTCGCCTCAAACACTTCAAAACTCTAGCCAGCTTCTCGCATTTTTTTAAAAAAGTTGACTGGAGGTCATTAGATCAACAACAACTTGCATTGATATGACCTGCCTCATGTGGGGTAACAACCTCGAGGTCAACCCTGTAAGTGGTGTCGGTGTTGGTGACCTGATGAGGTTTAACTTGGTTAACTTTTAACGATGTGCCAGTTGGCACTGTCGCTCCTGCTTCACAGGGTTGTGGGGTCGAGCCCCACTGGGGTGAGCAGTGCTGTCCTGTATTGTCAGAATCCCATCTTTCCATTGAGATGTTCAAGCCGAGGTTCCATGTGACTGTTATTTATGCGGCGCTAAAGTTGGAAGCCTCCTCGACAAACAGGAAGGGTGTTTCTCCCATTGTCCTGACCCACAATCCAGCAGATTCATTGCTTATTCACCCGATGGAACTTGTTGAATGCAAAATAGCCCATAAATCCCGTCACTACTGGTCAGTAACTACTGTAAAGCTCCTGGAGATGTTTTGAGGTGATTGAACAATAAAATAGCGAGCTCTCATAATGTAAGTTTATTCTAAACTTGAAAAAAAGCTAAACATTCATCTGTTTTTAATTGTAAAAAACATACTAATGATATAATAATCCTTGCACTTGATATTGCACCTTACCATGTTGCGATATCTCAAAGCGCTTCACACAATATATTGTATATAGAATATATATTTTAAAAATGTGGTTACTCAATCCAGGACTGTTTGTGGGACACTGCTGTGTGCAATCAGCTGCTGCGTTCCACCCACAAAAACGCTTGACAGTATATTCGGTGAAACCACTTTGTGGTGTCTCAAAGACGTGATAAGGCGCTATAAAAAAAAGGGAAGGATTATCATTACAATATAAGTGACATTATGTAAAAAGCACTTTTAATTCCCATTATAATTTGTTTCTGGGAGAGGTGGGGGTCCAAATAAGTGTTTGATTGGCTCAACTTGCAAATCACACCCCCACACACACCCACCCACACACATACACATACACACCCCCCCACACACACACACACCCACATACACACCCACACATACACACACCCACACACATACACACACCCACACACATACACACACACCCCCACACACCCACACACACACACACCCCCACACACACACACACCCCCCCACACACACACACACCCACCCACCCACACACACACACCCACACATACACATACACACCCACCCACACACCCACACACATACACCCACCCCCACACACACACACATACACACCCACACACCCACCCACCCAACCACACACACACACCCACATACACACCCACACCCCCACACCCCCACATGTCGCTCGGGGGCAGAGGGACCGTCTGGGCTCACGTTCCCACGTACAGTACACGGAGTCGCGTGTGTTCGGGGCGGGGAGACGGGCGCTGGTGTTCCTCCTCCTGAAGCCATCAGAGCCCTCTCACCAACACACCGCACTCACTCAAACCCGCCATCGGGTGAGCAGCCCCTCTCCCCCTCTCCCCCTCCCCACCCCACCCCACCCCCGGCCATCTGCTGTGGACTGGAGATTCCTCGCCACCGCTGAGCTGTGTTGAGGAGCGGACGGACTGACTGCAGATTTCACGCTTTTATTCCCAATTGAAACCTCGAGTTCATTTGGAGGAATCCACACCTGCATTTTGTCTCCTTTTTTGTGACTTGATATCCGGGTTTATTTGTCCTGTATCTGAGCTGAGAGCAGATTAGCAGCAAATAGGGTGAGTGTGGGCTGGGGGGTGGGCTGGGGGCTGGGGTGGGGGGTGGGGGCTGGAGTGGGGGGTGGGGGCTGGGGGTGGGCTGGGGGCTGGGGGGTGTGGGCTGGGGGGTGGGGGGTGTGGGCTGGGGGGTGGGGGTGGGGTGGGCTGGAGTGGGGGCTGGGGGGTGGGGGCTGGGGTGTGGGGGCTGGGGTGGGGGGTGGGCTGGAGTCTGGGCTGGAATCTGGGGTGGGCTGGGGGCTGGGCTGGGGGGTGGTGGGTGGGGGCTGGGCTGGGGTGGGGGGTGGGCTGGGGTGGGGGGTGGGGGGTGGGCTGGGGGCTGGGGGGGGGGGTGGAGTGTGGGCTGGGGGCTGGGCTGGGGGGTGGGCTGGGCTGGGCTGGGGTGGGCTGGAGTGGGGTCTGGGGTGGGCTGGGGGCTGGGGTGGTGGGTGGGGGCTGGGCTAGGGGGTGGGCTGGGGGCTGGGCTGGGGTGGGGGGTGGGCTGGGGTGGGGGGTGGGGGGTGGGCTGGGGGCTGGGGGGGGGGGGGGTGGAGTGTGGGCTGGGGGCTGGGCTGGGGGGCTCCACACTGTGTGACAGGTGCTGGGGGTGGGGGGTATATTCAGGTCTCTGACCCCCTCTCAGCGGTACAAACACACAGTATTTCCTGCTAATGTTAATGAACTCAACGAGGTGGTGTTTTTCGGCTGTTTCTTTCTCTTTAGTCGCTGTCTTGTCTGTGTCACCGACTCTGCCCCGACCTTTTGGGGCTGTTTTGTGGCCAATTACCTCTCTCTTCTTCCTCTCTTTCTCTCCCTTCATCCATTTCTCTCCTCGATCTGTGGCAGTGACCGAGACACAGCTTCTGACTGATTGCAGCTCCAATACAGTGCTGCACACACACACACACAGTGATACAGAGACACACACAGTGATACAGAGACACACACACACACACACACACACAGTGATACAGAGACACACACAGTGATACAGAGACACACACACACACAGTGATACAGACACACACACAGTGATACAGAGACACACACACAGTGATACAGAGACACACACACAGTGATACAGAGACACACACACACAGTGATACAGAGACACACACACACAGTGATACAGAGACACAGTGATACAGAGACACACACACACACAGTGATAGACACACACACACAGTGATACAGAGACACACACACACAGTGATACAGAGACACAGTGATCCAGAGACACACACACACACAGTGATAGACACACACACACACACACACAGTGATACAGACACACACACACAGTGATAGACACACACACACACACACAGTGATACAGACACACACACACAGTGATAGACACACACACAGTGATAGACACACACACACAGTGCAGGCACCAGGGTACAGCGTTAATGTTGAAAAGAGCTCAGCCCCGGTCCGACACATACGTTGTGTTAAATATATGTTGGCATTAGTCAGCCTCGCCTTTGTGTGTTTGAAATAAAACCCTCTGGTTCCTGAGGAACATATCTGGATCTCCCCTCAGTGGCAGAGCAGAAGGGTTTGGATTGCTGTGAATCCCAAAGGGATGAACGATTCGTTGTCCAATTAATTTAGTCTTTATTTTTTATTGCTCTGTTGCCAGGTGTAGCTTCATTAAAAGCCCTGACTGACGGTGTCGATGGTTAGACACCTGCGACTGTCTGAATCAGATGCTGCCAGAGATGCTCCACATCTGACAATAGTTCTTATGGGATTTGACTGTATTTGTATCTGTGGAACAATAACCCACTGGACTGGGTGATCCCTGTTCCTGTTGACTTTCACCGACACCCACAACACATGTTATTTTTGAACCAGCGTTTCTCTCTCTGCGGTGAAGCTGACATGAGAATTAGTTCCTTTCCTGTCCAGTGAGTGTCTCACTCACTCACCAGCACTGACTGGAGGAGTTGTGGAGAAGGTGGAACGAGGTTCCCAGCTGGAATTGGCATCAGTTACTAATCTACTCCTCACATATGTAAAGAAAGCTGGAACAACGAGCAATTCATTGTCATAGAGAGAGAGAAAACCTTTGTCGATCTATGTGTGTGTCAGATTGGCTCAGTTGAGTCTCTGAGTCAGAAGGTTGTAAAATCCCACAATAAAATGCATGCAGTATTTATTGTGCGATTCAATTTTTGGTTATACATATCCATGGCAATCTGCCGATGATAGTCTAGTCTGAATCCATTCACAAAATCATAAGCGTGGTGAGGATGAAGGTCCTTCCTCCCATTTGATCTCATCCTTCCAAAATGTCAACTTCACCTCTTCCCATCACAGCCCCGAGTTGTGGCTGTGGCTGTGGCTGTTGTTGTGATCAGTCCCGTGTCCTAGTTTCCATCACTCTCCCTGGTGACTAGGTCCAGCTCCAGATGGCCCTCTGTGTAAATGTTACAATCACTCTCTATTACAGTTTTCCTCTATTCCCTCTTCCCATCACAGTGTCCTGTATCAATCTGTCTTTAGTACAGTGCACTGCAGTTTGAGAGAGGTTTACGTATCATCTGTTTTTTTCAGATGGCTTCTGCAAACGACGCAAGATATGGACAGAAAGATGCATCAGATCAGAACTTTGATTACATGTTCAAGCTGCTCATTATTGGGAACAGCAGTGTGGGAAAGACCTCGTTCCTCTTCAGATATGCTGATGACACGTATTCATCATCCTTCGTCAGTACTGTCGGCATCGACTTCAAAGTCAAAACTGTTTATAGAAACGACAAGAGGGTCAAGTTGCAGATTTGGGTGAGTGTGGTTCACTCTGTGTATGTGGAGTGATGGAGTCTAACTACCTTTAACTATGTCAATGTCCTTTTTATTATTTACCCAGAGTGTGAAAGCTTATCAATAATAGGTTTGGATAATACTGTACAATATGGTATTGTTACAATAATGTCATGACGCTTTAAAGGTTTTTTATATAAATGTTTTGTTTATATTGACTAAACAACCAGAGACATGGGTGATACACTGCACATGTTCAGGGTGTTGGGGGAACCCTGCCCCACCCTTCCCTATGTTTTCCCCAAAGCAGGCGGCTATTCTGGTTCAGTCCTGACTGGACAGCACTCAAATCATTACTGTTATTGTAGTGATCTGCACCTCGAGAACTTCACAGCAGCTCACGTACCACACGGTGTAACATTAATGCACAGTGATCCCGAGTGGCATTCCTTAATAAGCAATCCGGGTGGAGATTCCAGCTGGGAACCGGAAAAACATCAGTTACCAGTGGAGCTTGTGGGTGTCGAGTGGTTTTCCTGTGGGTCCCTGTAACATACCTCCAGTTTCCTTATTAGCAATCCTGTTCCAAACTACTGCGTATTGGACACAGTTATCAAATGGTGGAGTCCTGTAGTGAATTGGTTAGAGCAACAACAACAACAAAATTACATTTGTAAAGCGTCTTTCATGTCAGGAGGATGTCCCAAGGTCCTGGACAATCAGTGTTTCAGACCCGAGATGGGGGTCGGGATCAGGGAGGATGGAGGGCAGAGGGGGAAGGAGGATGATCAAAAGCACGGTCGAAAAGGAGGGTCTTGTGATGGGTCTCGAAGGAGACAAGGGAGTGGGCGAGGTGGAGGGATTGCAGGTTGGAGTTCCAGAGGGTGGGGCAGAGTGGCTGAAGGCCCACCCGCCCATAGTGAGGCAGGCGAGACAGGGAATGTGGGGCAGGTTGGTAGGGGGTTAGGAGGTCACAGAGGTAGGGGGGGGAGCAAGGCCATGGAGGGCTTTGAAGGTGAGGACCAGGATCTTGAACTGTATCCTCTGTGTGATGGGAAGCCAGTGGAGTCGGGCGAGGATGAGTTGATAGAGTCACTGAACCTGGTGTAGGAGAGGACAAGGGCTGCAGAATTCTGGATGATCTGCAGCCTATGGAGGGAGGAGTTGGAATGGCCGACAAGCAGTGAATTTGTATAGTCGAGTCTCTATGTAATGAAAGCATGTATGAGGGTTTCGGGGGCCTGTGGTGTGAGACAGTGGTGGAGCCGGGTGGTGTTGCGAAGGTGGGGAAAGGCAGAGAGGGTCATGGCACAGATGTGGGGTAGAAAGGATAGTTGAGGGTCAAACAAGAAACCAAGGTTCTGGACTGGCTTAGCGCGGTGGAGTGTGCAACCACGGATGCTGATGCTGTCAGCGCCTGAGGTGAGGAGGCGCTGATGGGAGCCAATCAGGAGCTTCGGTCTTGTTGACATTCAACTGAAGAGAGTTGGCTCTCATCCAGGACTTGATGTCTGACAGACATTCGGTCAGGTCCTGGAGTCAAAGGTGGAGGCAGAGAGATAGAGTTGGGTGTCATCCATATACATGTGGAAGTTGATCCCATGACTGCGGATGATGTCACCAAGAGGACATATAGATATTGAAGAGGAGGGGACCAAGGACAGAGCCCTGAGGAACGCCGCACGAGACGGTCCGGGGGCTATGTATAAAGTGGAGATGGTGTGAGAGGTAGGATCTGATCCATTCAAGGACAGAACCGTGAAGGTTGAGGTGAGAGGCAGTGGAGGAGGATAGAGTGGTCAATGGTGTAGACCACTCACCTCACAAGCGAGAGGACCTGGGTTCAATTCCTGAGCAGGGCAAGCTTTGAAACGTCTCCTTGAAGACATGGTAAGGCACTATATCAAATGCAAGGATTATTATTGTAGTATGTTCTTTCCTCTCCTCTTCATTAATACTTTCTGTCCTTCAACTGATGGCCTTGTTGCATAACCAAATGTACATTTTCCATCAAGTGTAAGGAAGCAAGGCAAACGTTAGCTGATGTTAGCAGCTGCCTATTCAGTGTCAACCATGTGCAAAGAGCTGGCAGTTCATGTATAAACTGGAAATACTGTGTTTTACGGAAGAATTCGTTAACATATTTCAATGAATTTATAAGTATGAAAACCTTGTTTAAAATGTACAAATGCATAATGTAACATGTAGAAGAAAACTGATGGGTTTTTGGAGGTTTCAACCAAAATGTCTCTGCTCTGGAATGACCTTCGTTTAATTGCTATTTCGATAAATAGAATGAACTTTTGCACGGTTTATTGCCTGGTCTATTTATTGTGTCTGTAAATATTGTCGATTAATGTTCATTTGGATCAAATGAAATCCATCTTTATTCCAAATGATCAAAATAATATAATAATCCTTGCATTTGATAGAGCCTCATCATGTCTTTGAGACATCTCAAAGTGCTTTACATTATATAATGTACAGTATAGTGACTCTCCACCCTGTGGGCGAAACATGGCAGCAGTGCCCCACAAACGGCCATGGACCGAGTGACCATATAAATATAATACCATCAATATAATATAAATATAATATAAATACCATCAAGTTCAATTTACAGAACAAAATATTGGTGTGAGCTCAAGTCCTTATATGGGGACTTACAGTCACAACCCTGTAACCCAGAGGTAAGAGCCAGGCCGTCACTCCTAAACCACCTTCAGCAAAACAATTACCTCATTCTTCAGCTGAGCAAGTTTAACTGATGCACATTTGCATGATCGTAAGATCACAAGATTGGTTTGGATCAAGAAGCTCCTTCAGCCCATTTGATCTCATCCTTCCACAATACTCAGCCTACCGTCTTCCCATCACTGCATCTACCTGTTTGTTTTAAATGAGTCCAGTGTCCGACCCTCGACAAAATACATGCAGTCACACCCCTTTACAATCTATTCTGTGAAATGCTTTGAGGAATCTCAATTATGTGATAAGGTATGATATCAATGCAAGGATTATTAATAATAATAACACCAGGCTCTGAAATGAAGAACCTGTGTTGTGTGAGACATCCAGATATTAGAATAAATGTCAAAACAAAGGCTCAAATTTTCATAGAATCTCTGCTGTTTGACATGTAGAGCACGGTTAATGCTGATAATGTGAGATGGGACCTGGTGATAGAGGTGGAGGGATATTCAAACATACTTGTGCTTTCCTTCAACACCGTGTGGGTTGAGAATATGCAAATATAATGTAAATTCCCTAAGCTGTTTGGCAGGTTTCCCAGGACCTGTGCTGCTCTCAAAGTTACAAAGAGAGTGAGAGATGACGTGTGTAAACTTTATTCTTTTCCTCCCCTCACCCATTCAGGATATAGTGAGAGATCCCTGGGTAATACTGTAGTCCCCAACAAATAAGATTTAAAGAAGAATGTTTCAAAAGTGAGCAGAGTAGTGTTTGCACCTTCTAGACAAGGCTCGATTGCACAACTGCAGTGAGGGTTTGGCACAATTAGAAAGATCACAATAGGACAGTGAGCACCAGGATTAGGCACATGCCATTTACAGCAATTCCCTCAAATCCTTAGCAGTTTTGCTTCTGAAAACAAGCCTGGGGAATGGGTGGTGCAGGTGTCCTGTCACCTATTGGCTTGGCTTCAATCTGTAATCTCTCTCTCTCTCTGCTGACTATAAGGAGCTGCAGGAAATGAGTTTAGGACTAACTCTGCTCAGTTCCCACCACCCGCTGCCTCCGCTCAGCTGGCTCTGGCCTCCTGTTTGTCCCTCGTCCCCTCCGCTCCACCATCGGTGGCTGTGCCTTCAGCCACTACTCCCCGAAACTCTGGAACTCTCTCCCTCAATCCCTCCACCTTGCCCCCTCCCCCGCCCACCTTCAAATCGCGCCTGAAGACCTTCCTTTTTGATTGCGCTTATGGTCACTTCTCCCCCCCCTCCCCCCAGCTTGAGGTCAGATTCCACCACTGTCAAGAGCTCCAGGACGCTACTCCATGTGTGTGTGCAATAAAGAAACTTGCCCAACGTTTTGCCCTGCCCAGGAATCGAACCCGGGTCCTCTCGCTTGCGAGGCGAGTGCTGAAACCACTGAGCTACAGGACTCCACTCTGTGAGCTTGTATTACACTGATGCATGACGGTGATGCAATTACTATTCAGGGTTGTGAATTCAGGGATGATGTGGCACAGCTCGACAGGGAAGCTGAACAAATACCTGCGGAATGTTCCTGGTGCAGGTGTGGCTCCTGGACTATCACTGTAACAAAGGCGCTTTCCTGACTCTGTCAGGTCGGGAGCCGTGCATACAAACACTGATCGCAGGCCAACAGAGACAAGGTCAGGCAACTGCGCCTGTTAATCAATGTTACCCCATCCCATGCTGTGTGTGACTGCTTTAAAGAAGTGGCATTTGTATCAGAGCTTGTGTTTGTTAAAGTTCAGGTCAGATTTGCATAAATACCTTGTGCATTGCTGTTGTTACAAAGCCTGGCACTTTTTGATTTCCTTCAAAATCAGTGATGTCCATTCTCCTCACAGCAATGGCGGGCGGATTCCTTTCCGGAGGGTAATCCCATTCATATCTTAACATTTTGCCTTTTTTTTGTCAGTGCGTAATCTGATCCAGCTCCAAATTAAATGATATTTTAAAAAAAAGCTCTTAATGACCTGGTTCAGGCAATTCAACAACAGCTTGCATTTATTTAGCGCCCTTCACATGTGGCAGCATCTCAGGGCGCTAAAACACATTTACCCCATAAGAAAGGTGCTGCCTGAGTGCAGTTTGTAGCTGTTTCTCTTGCCGTGCAGCCTAGTGAATCCAGGATTAGTTTAGTTCAGTCCCAAATTCAGTGCAAACTGATGCTTCAGGTACTGAAAGGAAACAAAATTCCTGTTGCTGCTAAATGTAGTAGCTTGATGTTGTGTCCTGCCACGGGGTGAAACACATTTGCTCACCTCAATAGCAACAACTTACATTTGTATATTTTCGGGAGGACATCTTGCC